GGGGTAAACGTCTGTTGCACCCGAATTTTTAAGAAAGAAAAAAAGAAAACAAAAAGATGGCAACTAGACGTATTTATCTTCCTCTGAATTTCTATAGTACCACACTGTCTCTGACTTGCGCGTGACTAACTGGACACACTGATTTGTCTGTTTTAACCAACGCGCGCAAGTGGCTGATCCGCGTTGCCCGAGGAAAGTATAATCAAATTGTGTTTTATTTTCGTTCTCTGTCGCTCCCTCCCTCCCTTTTGCACAGGACTATATAAACGATCATATTACCTGCACATACTCTGACATTTTTTCTCTCATTCTTATCACAAGATATACATATATACATATATATAACAGGAGACGTTACACCTAAAACGAACAAATAACATGTTGATGATTTAACAAAATTGAACAAAGCACGAAAAATGGGTTATAAATTGTCGTTGTCATTACCGTTGTTGATTTTTTTCCAATTGGGTTATTTCTTTAATAAAGACGATTATTGAATGATTATATCATGGATTTTACTGACGGGATTGTTTGACTTCTTAAATGAGAACACATTCAGAGATGAACAGATGTTTTCATTGATTCCTTTTCTAGCCTGAACGGAACAAATAAGAAAATGACAGGCAGAGGAATATGGGGGGGGGGGAGAGGTGAGGTGCGACGTGTTTCATACCCCGAGATCACCACAACACTGCAATCAAACTGCGAAGCGTCATCTGTGCGATCGACCTTCGACCACGGTAGTTGAATGGCTTGGGCCAATCTCTTCTGTGCACGTAGAGTGGGTTTGAACAAACGAATACCGATTGCTTCCGCAGCGGCTGGGGTGTGGAGACACACCGACTGGGATGGGTGAGGTGGTACTCGATTCAAGCTTCACTTGGTGACCTCAGTCTTCCCGATGAGCGAGAATACCGCTCCCTGTGGCACTTTTTCCATCGTGTTGAAGCCAGCGTGGGCAGCGCTCTTTAATCCGCTGACTTCTTATAGACCAACTGGAACAAATCCCCTTACCTTTCATAAAGTCCTTTCCCTTACTAAAGAAAAAAACAGTCTCCCATCAAGAGTTGGTTTTGTCTTCTCCGTCAACCTTTCTTCTTTAGAGACCACTTGTTTCTATTCCACAGAATGCTTCGTTCCACAGTTCGCTTCACCCGTGGCAACTGTGGTCACATTTTGTATCTATCGGGGTATCAAAACCATCCGGTATGTATTGCTACCGCTTGCCCACAGTGAATGAATCACATTTCTTCATTGTTTACGCTATAAGATGAGACATGAACTCATGCGGTTGGTGCACCGTAATAAGTTTAACTATTCGTCCCGAATGAATATTATGCACAAACAAGGTCAGCAGTCTCGATTTTCCGGGTTGAGCAGGATGGGGATAGAAGCCTGATGTGTGCGGTGGAGACTTTTGTGCAACGAACCACAAAGAACACCTCAAGCTGGTACACTCAGTTATCATATTGCTGAAATCCATTTTACTGCCCGCCATTGACGTCATTTCGTGGCAAGTAAGAAGAAAATCAGTCTGTAATAAAAAAGGAAAAACTGTGGTTCTACAACTAGATTTCCGAGTTGAACGATTCTGCTGCATCTTCACTGGTGAAATACCCCAGCAAAATGATGAGCTGAGCTAGGGTTTGCGGGTTGGAAATACACTAATACAATAATAGAAGCTGCCAGCAATCTAGGAATTAATTGTTGCCAAAGAGTGATTTCGTCGGAAGAGTGCAACTAATTCAGCGAAATTCAATGTGGGGTGACTGTGATAATCGGATTAGCATTGAATATAGGAATATGAGAATCCGTACTGTACTACTCAGAACTGGATTGACTCCAAACCAACTTGCGGACAACAATGAAATACACGGAGAATAGGTAGCAGCAAGTGCCAATGTTTATTCTTTGAAATAAACCATATTTTATAGAAAGCAATAGACCGACGTCGGACGCATCGGTGATCAATATGGTAGGTTTTGATGGTGAAAACGGAGCCAAAACAGGACGATCAGTAATGCAGCGAATTAAACCATGTAAGATATCTTCACACTCCATCGACCATTCCCAAGCATCCGAATACTGAGCACGGAAAAGCGGCTGCCCCCTTGTGGCAAAGTTTGGGATAAATCGGGAATAGTATTGTAGGCATCCCATCACGGATCTCAAACGTGTTTGATCCTTTGGAGATTCGACGGTAATCCTTGGTTTCGGATCGGGTGGTATCCATGGGCATCAACTATGAATCCTAGATACTCCAACTCACCCAAACCAAAGACACATTTAGACTGCTTGATAGCCGCGGTTCTAGCGACGAATCGTTCTAGTAGCTGCGTAAGACGAGCATCGTGTTCGTTTATATTAAGGCCGAAAACGAGGACGTCATCTTGATATGCAAGCACACCGTCGAGTCCTTTTATTACACTGTCTACTGCCAATTGAAATAGACCAAACGATACATGCAACCCGAACGGGAGAAAATGGTACTGGTACGTTCCCCACGGCGTGTTGATTGTTGTCAAGTAGCGAGATTCTACATTGAGTGGAATCTGTAGGCATGCGTCCGCCAAAACGATCTTGGAAAAATACTGGCAACCATGCAATGACTTCATGAAATCCTCTGACTCCACGGTGGTAGCTGCACATCTCTGCAATCGGGGATTCAAGTTCAATCGACAGTCTCCACAGATCCATGGTGTGCTACTATCCCGTTTCATCGCCATGACAACCGGCGGCGCCCAGGCAGTGGATTCAACTTTGATTATCACACCATCCTGCTCCATTTTCTGTAGCGCTTTCAGAACACCTTTCCGTTGACCGTATGGGAGAACGCGTCGCTTTAGAAAAAAAAACAGGTTCGCCATCCACTTCAAACTTTACCGACGTTACCTTCATGTAACCAACGTTACCGGAACATTGTACAATCAAATGTTGAAGATGTGAGGTGATTGGTCTATCATTGTTTAAAGACGAATGTCTTTCTACTTCCTTTTTATATTTATTGAATATACAAGTGTACAGTCAACTTTCAGGAAGGGGGGCTGCGGCCATACAAAGGCTGCCTGGAGAAAATACAGATATAGGGAACACGGGCGGCGATGGAGCGGTTTGAACCCGGGACACTTAGGTCACTAGTTGGTGACTTAACCACTTGTTGGTATGTAGTGTGATTGACCCTCGCAGTACCCGCATTGCTCGCAGACACAGAATGGATGGGCTGTGGGCTGATACCAGGAATCGGATCGGGATTGACACACAGGACTCAGAGTGAACTCCATTTCATCAAGTAATTGCAATTGCTGGCCGGTAACCCAACACATGCGCACTGAGGTTGGGGCTAAAACAGCATTGGGACAAATAGCAGTGAGTGTTGATTTCGGTAGGATAGATTCACTGCTTCCTATGTCCAGGATGAATCGACGTTCCACACCAGACTCGAACCTCAAAGGGGCGAACACGAACTGGCTGTTGGGTTCAGGGGTCTGCAGCATGTAGGTTGGGCTTGAACTCTCATCTGCCGTTGGGATATGGGAATCGACGAGGTTGCACTTAGGCATTCGGCACACTGCGGATATGGAACATTTTACCGCACGCGTGGCAAGTGGCATTACGGAACCGACAGATCAGTTGAAGATGGTATTCACCACATGACAAGTAGCAATTGGTCACAGCCTTCGTTTGTGGTCGGTTCGAAATTGGTACTTGAGAAATCGGAAATGCAATATGAATACTGTGTGCAGCAAGTAATGGTTTGGTTGATTGGCGACAGAATAACACAGGAGTGTCCGTATTTGTAGCTTCACACAATTCATCACTTTACTCACAGATTTTTCGGACCCCAGCAAACGTGACGTCTTTGTTTTCCAACATCTTACGTTGTAATGAGATGTTGTTGCTTCCAGCAATCAGACGGTCACATAGTTGTTCTTCCAATCGATCACCATAGTTGCATTTTGATGCCTGTTTGTTCCACTTGAGGTTGAATTAGCGGCACGGAATTTTGGCAGATCTGATCACTGAGTTGAATTTGGTCCGTTCAGTGGCTTGAAAATTCACAGGGGAGACGGTGGTCTAGCAACAGGTGTTTTTAACTTCTCAAACGGCAATTCAGCAGGAACATTCGAGAACTCTAAATTTTCCATTAGGGAATACAGTCTTCGGGCGCCCAACGTCAAAAGTAGGACCAATTGGTTTGCGTTCCTCCTTTATGGATGCTGCACCATAGTTCGAAACGCTCCATCCACTCTTCGATTTCCGACCGGCTTCCTTGTGGGTTCAATTGTTTAATGACAGGAATCTTGATTGCGTGACTCCAAATTGTGGTAATCGGAATAGAATTGGATATAGAAATACGAGAACCTGTACAGTACTAATCAGAACTGAACTGGCTCAAACCCTAACTGCGGACACCCATGAAATACACGGACAGTTGGGAGCAGCAACTGGCAATATTTATTCATTGAAATAAAGCATATTTTATAGAAAGGAATACATCAAATCATTGGTTGAAAAACCATCGTCCAACCACGTAACGGTTTGCGCAAATGCATGGCATGTACTAACTCTGAATTCACGTTCGCCCGATGTACCATTGGTCCAGCTTCCTGACATGAAGCTGTACCCGGTAGTACTTGGAATGCGGTCGCGTATTTCTGGATCACCACAACTCTCTTCCGTCCGAAGTGTCTCGTCAGTTTGGCTTGCCTGACGGCTAGACCTGAGAAATGCAATCGTTGACTCCGCCTATTCATGTTGCACTCTTGAGTGATGTTCTTGAATTTCGATTGGTTGTGACTGCGCATCTGACTGATGCGGCTTCGCCGGGTGCCCTGTGGGAGTTTGTACCTGATTGTCTCCCTTGTTTGTCTATTGATGCCGATGGTCTCTGTATGATTTGAAGTGGATTTTGTCTACGTGTCGCTTGTGCACAGTGGCATCATTCAAGTCGGTGATTTCCACCATGGGTGGACCCAGTTGTCGTGTGACTATACCAGTGATGGGTCACAAACCATTATCACGGAAGTATATGATGTCACTGAAGTCGAAACACTGTAGGGAGGGCCGTAATTGTCTGGATTTAAACAGCATTGCCGGGCTCTCCTTGATGGTTGCACGTGTTGCGCTTCGGTACTGGAGTATTAATTTATCCACCAACGTTTTCCATTCATGTAGCGTTTTAAGATTGACTGACGCAATTGCACCCTTGACCTCTTGACTAAGTTTTCTGCCGCTCCTTTCGAAAAGGGGTGACGTGGAGCACTTCGAAGGTGTCGGCAACCAATGTTGTTCATGCATAGCTTCATTTCGCTCGCACAGAACTGAGATCCATTATCCGTCATAAGCACTTGTGGAATTCCTTCGCGACTGAAATATTTCCGTAGTAACTGTATCACAAATGATGCGGTAGGCGTAGTCTTGAGGAATATCTCTGGCCATTTGGAGTATGAATCGCTCAAAACAAGTGCGTAATACCGGTTCAGAAGTGAACCACAGAAATCCATATGAACCCTTTGCCATGGTATGCAACCTTCCGACCGTGAAGTCCAGTTTTTCGGCCTTGTTCGTAGTTTATGTAAACATGACTCAGTTCTTGGCTGTTGTACAAATGTCTGCGTCCAACTCCGGTCACCATCNGTCACCATCCCCTTTGTCGAGCCAATGATTTCATCTTCTCCACTCCCATATGTCCTTTATACAATTCATCTAGTACCGTCTTCCCTAGTGGCGATGGGATTACCAAATGACGGCTTCAGCATCCCTCGAATAGCTATACAACGTCTTCCGTGTGGTTGTGCGACGAATGATGCTGGAGTCTTATGAGAATAAGTTGAAGTTTACTTCGGTTTTGGGCATACCACATTGTACCCTATCGAGAGTACCTTCACATACACGGTCCCTTTATTGTCGTTCTGATTGCGGCTATTAATGGGCTCCGCACCCTCGTCGGAATCTGCCCAAGATTGATTTAGACCAGTTTGGGCAAACAGATTCATTCATTCTTCAGTCGGAACTGCGGCTATCTCGGTCGCTCGATAAACACTGTTTGAGTCAGTCACCTATTATTTAGGAATTTGGGATGTTATGAACGGTCGTTTTGATCAAAATGGTAACTTTATCACCATCGAACAGAAAACCGACGATGACTCAGTTTTGGGTTAGTAAGGCCCCAGCCTGACTGGGGACTCTCTTTTTGCTCAGTTTGTTGATGAACCCATTCGGGGTAACTAATTTTGTTGGGAATCTCGCTCATCGTTTGTAGCTAGATGTCAAATTGGTCCTATGTGGAAATTAACGGTGGTGTCCGAAATAGGTTTTGACTGGGCCACGTTTGTACTCCAACAGTGAAGGGTTTTAAACGGGTGTGTGCATTGCCTAGTCCAAATTTTCTGTTCGATGCATGAATAGCGAGATGATTCTGTCCTTTCATCAAATTTGAGCAGATGGTAAGAAGGTTCAACGAGCTTTTAACTCCGGTTCCATAGTGGGGTGATCATTTGAATGAATGAAGGGAATAAAGTGCCTTTACAACGCAAATTGCTGCTCCAAGACGGTTTCTGAGGTGCTAAAAATGCCATCTAAATTCCAGTTGCAAAAAATTCCGCTGCTGTTCCCAGCACGGTAAAATTTTGCTTTATTCTTTCTCATCGGGTACACAGACCCCGTGATCCCTTGACCTCTTGACAACTGAGTAGTTTATTTCAGTGGTTATTACTAAATCAGAGTTTGTTTTGTATTCCTTCTTGTAAAGGTTTTGTTACAACAAAATGTGTGAATTCTGAGCTGAATGAACCATTAGTAGCAAATTCATTACGTTGTCCATAAATCTAATTCCCGTGGTAACCAAACAGCATGATCCATCAACCCACAATTTTGGGGATCAAGCTTCACAGACACCCGATCGTTAGTTATCCTTTGATTGGTTGCAATCAGTCCTTCTGAATATTTATTATTCACTACTTACTTGTGCACTCAGACCCCCAATAGGTGTTCAGAGCAAAAAGGTTTGGGACAATAGCAATTGTTGAAACGATTATCTTGCGTCTCTCGACACATGACGTGCCTAGGGAAGACTTCAGTTTAAAGGTTTCAAATAGCCAGACAGACAACCAGAGGAACTGTTCGTATGGTTAGTGTAGATGTTAGTTCAGTAGTATCAATCTGTGCAGTTTCGGTTAAGTTAAAGTTCTAAGTTAAACGGTTTTGCCTTGAGTCATCCTTCAGTAACTTTTGTGCTCGTATTTGGACCCCTTAGTTACGTTTTCTGTGAATGCAGAAAGTAGCCTTTTGTCTTCCTGGAGTCGCCTTCACCGCAGATGGCTGCGTGATTTTTAAACACAACACATGTAGAAAGGCTAAAACATGGCTATTTCCGACCGGCTCACATCAGTCCTTCAACGGAATCGCGTTGACCACATACAGTTCGGTTTTTGTGCGTTCGCATTACTTCACAAGTCTCGCGTGGCAAACGATTCCACATCTTACACACGAATCAAAATATCAGCATGCTCGTGACGGTTGCATGCTGGCGTAACTACTAGCTGATATGAACCAAGTTAGTTAGTTAGTTTATCGCGGTATCACCTTAAAATGGGGGTGGGGGTGAATGGGATGAATTGAAGTGTTGAACCAGTTTGTAATTTGTCCAATCTGGATTCTAAGCGCACGACCACCTCCTAAGGCGATACATGCAGTAGCAGAATTGAATCACTAAAGTGAATCCATGCACTACATTGAACATAGCATAACTTATAGAACAAGCTCATTTTCACTTGTTCGTATTTATGAAAACGCATAAAACCATAAAGTCCTTTTTATCCATTGTATAACAGCCGAAAGAAATACTTTAGTTAGTCCATATTGGAAT